GCAAATGTTGCATCTTTTTTTTTTACAACAAAATCCATATGAAAGATTTGACACTATATTTTAAATTCTATTATAAAATAGATTAAGTTAGCACTATGGTAGATTTCAATGGGTAATTATAGTTGCAAACTCCATTGGAAATTTGAATTGAGATTATGACCATATCTTGAGGGAAAGAATTTTTTTGGGGAAAAAAGGGGGGGGGGGGGGGGGGGTTTAAAGAAATTTTTGGGGGTCAATTTTTTCTCATTTCAGATTTCAGAAATTAAAAAGAATTATTCTTCAAATATTATTTTTTTTTCAAATTTCAAATATTGAAAAATTTCAAGAAGTAATCTTTAATTGGACAGTATGCGCATTAGATTTGTAAAATCTTTGACCACATTTATTTATTTGTTATGCCAAATCTAACCGTGTATTTAGATTTTTAATTTTGGGTCCAGTTTTCAAATTGGTCTACATTAAGGTCCAAAGGGTCCAAAATTAAACTTTGTTTGATTTTAACAAAAATTGAATATATGGGGTTCTTTGATATGCTGAATCTAAACATGTATTTAGATTTTTGATTTTTGGCCCAGTTTTCAAGTTGGTCCAAATTGGGGTCCAAAATTAAACTTTGTTTGATTTCAACAAAAATTGAATATATGGGGTTCTTTGATATGCTGAATCTAACCATGTATTTAGATTTTTTATTTGTGGACCCCGCTATCAAATTGGTTCATATTGAGGTCAAAAGGGTCCAAAATTAAACTTTGTTTGATTTCAACAAAAATTGAATATATGGGGTTCTTTGATATGCTGAATCTAACCATGTAATTAGATTTTTGATTTTTGGGCCCCGTTATCAACTTTGTCCACATTGAGGTCAAAAGGGTCCAAAATTAAACTTAGTTTGATTTTAACAAAAATTGAATTCTTGGGGTTCTTTGATATGCTGAATCTAAAAATGTGTTTAGATTTTTGATAATGGGCCCAGTTTTCAAGTTGGTCCAAGTTTGGGTCCAAAATTAAACTTTGTTTGATTTCAACAAAAATTGAATATATGGGGTTCTTTGATATGCTGAATCTAAACATGTATTTAGATTTTTGATTTTTGGCCCAGTTTTCAAGTTGGTCCAAATTGGGGTCCAAAATTAAACTTTGTTTGATTTCAACAAAAATTGAATATATGGGGTTCTTTGATATGCTGAATCTAACCATGTATTTAGATTTTTTATTTGTGGACCCCGCTATCAAATTGGTTCATATTGAGGTCAAAAGGGTCCAAAATTAAACTTTGTTTGATTTCAACAAAAATTGAATATATGGGGTTCTTTGATATGCTGAATCTAACCATGTAATTAGATTTTTGATTTTTGGGCCCCGTTATCAACTTTGTCCACATTGAGGTCAAAAGGGTCCAAAATTAAACTTAGTTTGATTTTAACAAAAATTGAATTCTTGGGGTTCTTTGATATGCTGAATCTAAAAATGTGTTTAGATTTTTGATAATGGGCCCAGTTTTCAAGTTGGTCCAAGTTTGGGTCTAAAATTAAACTTTGTTTGATTTCAACAAAAATTGAATATATGGGGTTCTTTGATATGCTGAATCTAAACATGTATTTAGATTTTTGATTTTTGGCCCAGTTTTCAAGTTGGTCCAAATTGGGGTCCAAAATTAAACTTTGTTTGATTTCAACAAAAATTGAATATATGGGGTTCTTTGATATACTGAATCTAACCATGTATTTAGATTTTTTATTTGTGGACCCCGCTATCAAATTGGTTCATATTGAGGTCAAAAGGGTCCAAAATTAAGCTTTGTTTGATTTCAACAAAAATTGAATATATGGGGTTATTTGATATGCTGAATCTAACCATGTATTTAGATTTTTGATATTTGGGCCCCGTTATCAACTTTGTCCACATTGAGGTCAAAAGGGTCCAAAATTAAACTTAGTTTGATTTTAACAAAAATTGAATTCTTGGGGTTCTTTGATATGCTGAATCTAAACATGTGTTTAGATTTTTGATAATGGGCCCAGTTTTCAAGTTGGTCCAAGTTGGGGTCCAAAATTAAACTTTGTTTGATTTCAACAAAAATTGAATATATGGGGTTCTTTGATATGCTGAATCTAAACATGTATTCAGATTTTAGATTTTTGGCCCAGTTTTCAAGTTGGTCCAAATTGGGGTCCAAAATTAAACTTTGTTTGATTTCAACAAAAATTGAATATATGGGGTTCTTTGATATGCTGAATCTTACCATGTATTTAGATTTTTTATTTGTGGGCCGCTATCAAATTGGTTCATATTGAGGTCAAAAGGGTCCAAAATTAAACTTTGTTTGATTTCATCAAAAATTGAATTCTTGGGGTTCTTTGATATGCCAAATCTAACCGTGTTTTTAGATTTTTAATTTTGGGTCCCATTTTTAAATTGGTCTACATTAAGGTCCAAAGGGTCCAAAATTAAACTTAGTTTGATTTTAACAAAAATTGAATTCTTGGGGTTCTTTGATATGCTGAATCTAAACATGTGTTTAGATTTTTGTTTATGGGACCAGTTTTCAAGTTTGTCCAAGGTGGGGTCCAAAATTAAACTTTGTTTGATTTCAACAAAAATTGAATATATGGGGTTCTTTGATATGCTGAATCTAACCATGTATTTTGATTTTGGAAATTGGACCATAATAGGTAAATTAAAAAAATTGAAGTTCTTAGACCACATTCTTTCTGTGTCAGAAACTTATGCTGTGTCAAATATTTAATCACAATCCAAATTCAGAGCTGTATCAAGCTTGAATGTTGTGTCCATACTTGCCCCAACTGTTCAGGGTTCGACCTCTGCGGTCGTATCAAGCTGCGCCCAGCGAAGCATTTTATTTGAAGATATTTTTTTTTATCACATAATTTTGAATTAAGTATTGTTCTGCACAGTTTGTAAAAATCCCAAAGTCATTATCATATCACAACAGGGAGTAAACTGATAATGAGAAATTAATCTTTAAAGACTGTTGGTTGGAGTCAGAAAATTCTAACTGTAGTGGTACCTTAACTGAATAAGATTATATAATAGTCACTTCCATATTTGAATAATTATCGGTTACATAATGCAAATAACTGGACTACACCTGAAGTTTGTCAGGTAAAACATATATACACTGTACCTGTGTGCATTTCACAACAAACGTAAAAAAACGACAATCCTACAAAACAAACATCCTTCTCACAAGTCAAATATTTGACAGACCTGTGTGTTGTTTTTTTTTTAGATGAACACCTTAACATTTCAAAACATTTATGGTTACACAAAATGTACTTTGTGCTCATTATGTGACAGTTTTGTCAAGTCTATTGAATTATAACTTACTTGTATATTCAGTATCATAAAAAGAGAAGGAAACTCATTACCTATTAATATAACCTCTGAAGTATTTTTAGAAAAAAAGTCCATATACAGATATGTTTTAAATAGTCATCGATGAAAAATCCTGAAGACCAATATATTGCTTGGGATGGTCTTTATTCCTGATAATTATTTAAACATCAGTCTGCTTTATTAATTTATAAGGACACATTAAAAGTGTAATTGTATATGCCAGTCTTGAAAAGTTTGTGGCCTACATATACAAGACTGGTATACATCATGTACTTTGGACTGTAAGTTGTGTTAATGGAAAATAGAGTATGATTGCCATGTGCTAAAGACCAAATACAAATGACGCAGTTGTTAGCAACTCTAGGTCGCCTCACAGCTTTCACCATGAAACTAATGATTGAAAACAAATTGCCATGGACTGTCCTAGGTGAAATGATAATTTCTTCAGTAAGACTCCAATGAGGGCTTTTAAAAATACAATTAGGTAGTAAGCAGATAGTTTGCCACAGGCTTCTCTGAGGCAAGGACTACTGGTGAGCCAAGCTTGATGAGTATTTCCTGTGCTCTTACAAGAGAAAATTCTCAGCAGATATAATGTAGTAGCACTTTCTTTGATATTTTTCAGGATCTCCAGAAGCACGGACTCCAAAAGACACAGCTGCAACAAGTGACAAGAGTTTACCAGGAAACTCAGATTCCCATTCTTCTGAACAACTTGATTTGTTAAATGATGATATGAAATTGTTTCCCTCAACTCCAGATGTGTCCAAAAATAAATCTGAAGAGACCGATGCACCTTGGATTGTGACCGTCAGCATGTTTTGGAATGACTTGCCTGCAATTATGTTGGAAAACTTACCATATTTACGTTTAGTTGACATTCATAAACAAATCCTTCCTGCCAAAGACACGGGTATTTTGAAAAAACGATGCCAGCTTTTGGGAATTGTTGTTAAAAATTGTTCAGAAATGCAAAGATATTTCCTTGTTCAGTATGGAAGGGCATTTAATTCCAAAAGCAACCTAATAATAAGTAAAGTGGATGCAGAGTTTTTAATTGGATATTATGTGAATCCAGTGACTAAATTACCAAGGTCATCAGAAGACCATCCGCAGCCAAAAGTTAAGCCAACTAAAGTCTCCAGACCAAGATCAAGGCCACCAAGTAGAACTGACAGGTAAATAGACAATATTGATGTTAAAATTACTGAATTATATTAGGACATGCTTTTTAATCTTCCAGCATCATCATTAAAGGTGGGAGAGGCAGAAATAGAACTGAAAGTAACTCCTTTTGATTTGATGATTTTTATACCCCCATCTATGACGTCATGTATCATAGTATACGTCTGTCTGACTGCTACCAATTCATCATAAAATAGCTAGAGAACGCTTTGATCATATTTAATAAATATTTGAATAGGTTGAAGATAGCTCACATACTAAATCCAGTATTGAAACTTCACACTATTTTTGGGATTGGTAGAAGTATGCTACCTTATGATTTTAAAAGTTTGTTTTATGCCCCAGCCTTAGAGGAGGGGGCATTAAGCTTTACCCTTGTCTCTCTGTACGTCCGTCCTTCCGTATGTCCCAACATGTTATGCCTCAACCAAATTTATGAAACTTATACACAATGCACCAAACACAGATCAAGTTCAACTTTGGATGGTGTCACTTTCACCGTTCTCGTGTTATGTCCCTTTATAAATGAAAAAAATTGCTAAATTTGCTGTTTCTGCACTCTTACTTTAGTTTGCCTCAACCAAATGTTATAAAACTTTTACACAATGCTTATTACCACTAATCACAGTTCAAGTTCGAATTTAGGCGGCGTCACTTTCACCGTTCTAGAGTTATGTAACTTATGTTCCTTTGTAAATGGAAAAATTTCTAAATTTGCTGTATATTTACAAACGGGGGCATTGATCAGCTCTGTCTCATGGACACATTCTTTATTAAGTCTCCCAAACGAAGTTTGGGAAGACTTATTGTTTTTGCTCAGTTCTTATTATTATTATTCTTCTTCTTCTTCTTCTTCTTCTTCTTCTTCTTCTTCTTCTTCTTCTTCTTCCGCCGCTTTTAAATTTTAACTTGTCCGCACCCGTTCTCCAAAACCGCTTGTCAGATTAACTTAGGGTTTCACAATATGTTAGACTAACATGTCTAGTGGTGCAATCAGGGTTTTGTTTGTGCAATGGGGTTTATAAAGGGGTACTTTGAGGGGCAAAAAGAAAAGAGGGTTTTACTATAGAACCCTATGGGATTTTATTTTTTAAAATTTTCAAATGATTATAAATTGAAAACCGTTTGTGATAGACACAATCTTTTTAATTGAAAATGTTCTAAATGATAAAGCCCATTAAATGAAATACAGGGTTAGTCCCCAGGGGTCACCCCCACCCCCTGCCATTTAAGAAAGTTCTAATACCTTGTAAGTGTTCAAGATCCCCACCCCTAAACCATATATATTCTGGTTTGTCATGCTAAGATGGTTTGAATGATATACAGGGTTAGTCCCCAGGGGTCATCACGACCCCCTGCCATTTGAGAAAGTTCTAATATCTTGTAAATGGTCGAGATCCCCACCCCTAAATCAGGGCCTAATCTAGGATTTTGAAGAGGGAGAAGTGACTTCTCCTTCCATTAGAGAGAAGGGAGAAGTGGTCAATTTCTTGGAGAAGTGAGATTCCATTACCTTTTCGGTTGCATCGTGTTTTCATGATTATCACTAAGGAAATTGTTTTAACTTCAATAAAAGATATACTTGCAGTTTTTTCATATGTTATTGTACACCATGTATATATAGAAAGTTCTTAATAAAAAGGTTTAGACAATTTATAGTTGTTATTTATTTATTGATACCATTGTGTTGAACTGTTCTAAATAAAATTTGTTGATTGGGACATGAGGGAGTAGCCTAGTAATATTATCATGATTTTGATGCATTAAATTCATGTGCATCTGCCTCAATTTATTTTTAAAACTCCAGAAAAATATGATTCCCAGTTTACCTGATGAATTTTACATGACTGGGAATTTAATTTACATCACCACTTGTCATTATTTTGTAAATCATTATTGAATGTCCAGGACATTGTGTTAGTTGTAAATTGAGATTATCGTTAAAGATTGTAAGTCTATGAATGAAAATATCTTTCAATCGCATATTAATTATCCGATAAAGAGCTAATTTCTATAATTTTTTTGAAATATCATCCATATCAACGAAGTGGTCATGAGAAAAAATCCACTGCTGATCACAATCTGGTCGAGTGTCGTACGTTTGCAATCACATTATCCATCAGCTGTCTTTCTACCTTTTATATTTCAATTTTTATTCAATGAATATAATAAATCTACCGTTAATTCCCACCTTTAACCTACCGAATAGTAAAATTGATCGACTCGTGTAAGTAATAAAAATAAAACAAATCAGCTGAGTGATTACGCAACATCCTCAGATGAAAATCATCGTAAAATGATAACTTAAACATACGGTCAGTTTTCCGTTTGAACAGTTTTGAAAGTTATATCCGAGGATGTTCAAAGTCGCCGTTGTATTTATTTAATTTGATCGTTGACAGTATTAGTCCTGTGTCGTTTCGAAAATCTCGATTTTCCTTGTCAGCCGCCATTTTTTTACCTGTGAGACTTGTCAATCACAAGTTGTCTCCCTTTTACCGATTTTGATAGCGATTTGACTTCGCTATGAAGTCAGTCGGCTGGCGAGATTTAGCGATTTTCAAAATTCTTTGGCGACTTAAATCGTCATTTCGCCGGCAAGATTATGGCCTGCCCTAAATCATATATATTCTGGTTTGTCATGATAAAGCACATCAAATGTAATACAGGGTTAGTCCCCAGGGGTCACCCCCACCCCCTGCCATTTAAGAAAGTTCTAATATCTTCTAAGTGGTCAAGATCCCCACCCCTAAACCATATATATTCTGGTTTGTCATGCTAAGATGGTTTGAATGATATACAGGGTTAGTCCCCAGGGGTCATCCCGACCCCCTGCCATTTGAGAAAGTTCAAATATCTTGTAAATGGTCGAGATCCCCACCCCTTAACCATATATATTCTGGTTTGTCATGCTAAGATGGTTTGAATGAAATACAGGGTTAGTCCCCAGGGGTCACCCCACCCCCTGCCATTTAAGAAAGTTCTAATACCTTGTAAGTGGTCAAGATCCCCACCCCTAAACCATATATATTCTGGTTTGTCATGCTGAGATGATTCGAATGATATACAGGGTTAGTCCCCAGGGGTCATCCCGACCCCCTGCCATTTGAGAAAGTTCTAATATCTTGTAAATGGTTGAGATCCCCACCCCTAAACCATATATATTCTGGTTTTTCATGATAAAGCACATCAAATGAAATACAGGGTTAGTCCCCAGGGGTCACCCCCACCCCCTGCAATTTAAGAAAGTTCTAATATCTTTTAAGTGGTCAAGATCCCCACCCATAAACCATATATATTCTGGTTTGTCATGCTAAGATGGTTTGAATGATATACAGGGTTAGTCCCCAGGGGTCATCCCGACCCCCTGCCATTTGAGAAAGTTCTAATATCTTGTAAATGGTTGAGATCCCCACCCCTAAACCATATATATTCTGGTTTGTCATGATAAAGCACATCAAATGAAATACAGGGTTAGTCCCCATGGGTCATCCCGACCCCCTGCCATTTGAGAAAGTTCTAATATCTTGTAAATGGTCAAGATCCCCACCCCTAAACCATATATATTCCTATTTGTCATGTCTCGAACATTTGAATGACGTATACGGTCAGTCCCCAGGGGTTCCCCCCACCCCCAATGTTCTTATATCTTGTAAATGGTTGAGATCCCCACCCCTAAACCATATATATTCCTGTTCCTCATGTAATGAACATTTGAATGACGTATAGGGCCAGTCCCCAGGGGTTCCTCCCCACCCCCAATGTTCTAGTATCTTGTAAATGGTCCAGATCCCCACCCCTAAACCATATATATTCTGGTTTGTCATGCCAAGATGATTTGAATGATATACAAGGTTAGTCCCCAGGCATCACTAATGCATATAACTTTACTGGACCAAACCAATTTTCACTGGATGTGGCCCAATGTCAGGCGACCCTGGGAATTACGAATTATGGGAGCTTCGTTTGGGAGACTTCGTAACAGCATCCTGTTACAATCATTTCTTGTTTATAAAGAATTTGTCATTCCAGGGTTAGGCATATAAATATTTAAGGGATTTTAATCATCAGGTTTGAGTTAGTATTTAAAATGTCACACTCAAACTCATCAAGTACATGGTGATGTATGCTTGAATCCATTTCTTAAAACTTTTAAGATTGATTTTTAAGAAAGCTCTGTTTCGATTTAAAAAAAATCAGATTGGTTTTTTAGAGGTTATTGAACTTTAACCCTCAAATTTAAGCCTTTTGTCACATGCTGTGCACTAATTTGAGAGTATATTGGATAAATTTAATTTTCTTCAAATTTTACATTGTTGTTTGTATCAGTGAAATAAAGTTAATATTGTTATATGCCATTGGATATCCTCCAGCAAGTTTTCTGCAGGGCTATTTTCCTTACTTATGAATTAATGTCCTCTACAATATTATACTAAAGTCTTTTTTTTTTACAAACTCAATATCCATTTGACGAGCATATGATACCTTGTACTCACATTGCACAGCTGTTTATTCATTGTTCTAAATGTAATGAAAAGGCTGAACTGCCATAGAACATGTAAATGCAAATATGATCTCTTGCAAATTAAAAATCTCACTGTGACTAATTAGATTTTACACATGACGAGATCAACTTCAACATTTTTTTGTTCAAGCAGTTCTTTTTCTAGATAATTACATATGCTTTTCATGGGTCTTGAGTCAGTCAAATTTAAGATGTCTAAGTCAAAATCAAATTTTCTAATTTTTGGAAGAAAAATTGAAAATTACTTATTTTGCTTTCATTCTGCCATTAGCATGACAAACATGACAATGTATGAACAAAATCAATATACAGCTTTGCACAGTTAGTAAAACTGATATTTAACAAATTTGGGTATCCTGTACTAAATGGGTTTGTCATGATTGTTTGGTAATCACCTGTCACCTTTACTTACACCTCGTTAGTTCATTTTTGTATTTTTGTAGTTTTTTTGACCAAAATATCAAGATG